TCTCCAAGTTGGGGTCATTTGACTTTAATGTTTTTATTGTCCTGTAAAAAAAATATATTCAGATGCATGAAAAAGAAACTAGACTGTCTGCACTTTGGTTTAGGTAACAAATATACTATCCACACAACTAGTTTAAACTTTTCTTTTTAGCTGCATACACTTAAGCGAAAGAGATGAATGTAAATGTTTTATGTTGTTAGGGTTGAACTTTGGCAACTGGTTGGTGGAGTAACCTGTAAACAAATATAGAAATTATTCTTGTAGGGGACATTTAGACGTGATTCTGCTGGTGTTTTTTTAAGAATGTCAGTCTATAGGCTTTAAATAGGCCCGAAGACAAGTAATACCCTTTTATTAGTTTTGTTTGTCTAGAAAATCTGTTGCAATCCATCCATCAAACATGTCTTTTGCTTTAGTTATCTCCCCTTTCTTTTGAAACCTCTAGTTAAGCCGAAGAGAATTACCCCCTATGAAGTGTGCCGTTACCTGTTAACGAGCAGTGGCTTGCCTTTATTGACACTAACCAGGTGTGCATTGATCACCTGTGTACAGACATAAACCAGTAGGTAAATAGATAGGTGTGTTTGATAGCACAGGTAAAAGATACGCTATCGTTGGCTGCGTTTGTTAACGAGGAGACCGGGTGAGCTGCCATTGTGTCTGTATTTGATATTGGTCAGGCGGAGGTCGAAGGTCAGCTGCTCAGACATTCATGATGTCTCGGGTGTTTGTACTGTTCTGTAGGGCAGTCACTGTTTGGTGATAGTGTTGCCCTCACATAGGTGGTTGTGGCTTCAAATGTATCATGTGACAAGAATGGTGGTGACAGGCGTGGATTTGTTAGATTTGCAGGATTTAAAATAAATTACAGTTGGTATGCAGATAGCTGGTATATGAAGAATGGAACTCTTGATTCTACAATTAACTTTGAAAGGTTCTATGTGTTTCGAACCAATATACCATGATGGACCTGATTAGTCTGTCAGGTTGATCCCAAGACTTATCCCAAGACTTATTCCGAGACTTACCCCCTAATCTCCCAAGCAGGTCTGCAATACCTTAGCAGGATAGGTTTCTTCAATTTTCTGAAAAGATTCTCTGGGCTTCTTTCAAATAGCTGTATTAAATAACACTTTATTTCATGAAGTCTTTATATGTTTTCATTATGGAGGCTTGACCAGATTTACCCGGTAATCATCCTTGTCCTGGCAACATTATACAAAAGCACCTGGTTCAGCTCACAGTGCAGAGTTACTTCCCTTGGGCCAGAAACTTGTTATCGAGGGTTTGAATCCTAGGTTGGCCTGATGATGATTTTGGGTTTGTTAGCACCATACCCTAGATCATGAGTTTCACTTGAGTGGTAAATATCACTCACTCACTCACTCACTCACTCACTCGACCCATGAAGATCCAGGTTAGAATTGATCTTCAGTAACCCATGATCTCACACTCACTCACACACTCACTTCATTGTGGACCGCCTCCGTGGTGTAGTGGTTAGAGCGTCCGCCCGGAAAGCGGAAGGTCGCGGGTTCGATCCTCGACCGCGTCATACCAAAAGACGTTAAAGTATGGTACTTGTTGGTCCCTGCCTGGCGCGCTCGGCATTAATAGGTACAACAAGGACTGGTCGGCTCAGAGTCAGTATAATGTGTCTGAGTGGGGTATTCCTGCTTCACTGTGGCATGGTATCTCAGTGGGCTAGCACTATAAAACCAGCTTCAGTCTGGGCAAGTACCAGCAGCCGCACATACACATACACACACACACACACACACACATGCACGTCGTCATATGAGATACATATTCTCAAGCACGACGTTAAACCCAATTTCACCTCACCTCACTTCATTGTGTGTCATTGTACACTGATGACGTAGGATCTGCATTTATCTGGTTTGTTTGGTCCAAATTCCAAGTTTTAAGAGTACAGCATGAAAAGAAAAGTAAACACAGCTGTTAAACCACAACCCTGTTTTCTTCTTGTCTTCCTTCATAAGCATGTACTGATAATCAAACAAATGATAAAATGATGCAATTACACAGTTTATGTCTTGTGTACAAACTCTCCACAAATACCACGTCCAGTCTGGCAGCACAAATGAACTCAGATTCCCAAGAACATGCAAATCTTTGGTCCAATGAGCAGATTCTATCTACAACTGTTTGTTCATTGTCTGTGATTTGGACTCATTCTACATAAACTGTGTAGAATTGCACACCTACTCCAGGTAATGTTCAGAACACCCATAATAAACCATGTACCTCGAGACAAGTGCTCAAAGCTATCAGCTAGACGATCTAAACGAGAACATGCTCACCACATTCTTTAGCCTGGGTTTACCTACTAAAATACATTTGACAATCAGGAACAAGGGACAAGAAGTAGATGTAATTTAACACCCATTTCACACTTAACTGCTCATTGGGACCAAATGTTTTGCAGCTTATTGTAGTTAGTTGTGAGGGGAATGTAATGTAGATCTCTGCTGTTCACAAACCTTGAAGGTTGGAAAGAGGCCTCATGTCCGGTGCAAGCAGGGCTGTAGAAATATATTCTGTGTAGTTTATAACAGCATGGTAATGTATCTGCTAATGTGACTGGAATATGTGGAAGTTTCACCTGAGTTGTTCCAACACTGTGCAACAGATGGTGAAAGGCCGAAAAAGAAAATTAATAAATTCTTGTTTCCCTGCAGATCCGTTCCGAAAAAAGCCCTTCCATTGCTCTCTTATTTCTTTAGTTGCACCATAGCTTTGATTTTATTTGCCTAGTGAAAAATTTGTCATGGCACACTATAGATAGGCATGTTATGATCTTTAGAACGGCGAAATTTAATTGTCATCTGAAGGTAATAATTGAAGGCTGGTTCCAATTGCGTACTGCCAATGTCTTTTGAATAGAACGTCAGCCCAAAGATCCTGATTTTTTAAAGATACTTTTTTGTTACCTTGCCTTAAGGATGTCATGACACATAAGTTTCATGAATCGATACGTATCACAATACCCATGTCACGATTCGATACGTATCATGATACCTATTTTCGCTGCATTATTGCGTAAATTTAGTTACATTTTGAACATTGATATGTCATAATTTATTATTGTCCATTAAAAGATCACCCTTTTTGATTCTCAGAGATTAAAAAGTTCTAATTTCCCGTCTTTGTGCATGAAAAATAATCATTTATAACTCTCATAACATCAAAAAACATGATACAATTGCAAAATGTAAACAATACCTAAACATATTTAAACCGATACTTTCAAAACTAAATATCGATACAGTTTTGAATGAATGAAAAAGTATCGCTGTATTGTGGCATCCCTACCTTGCCTTGCATTCAGCATCACGGCATCAACAATGATTCATTGGTTTATGTCAGTATCGTTTGTATCAATGTTAAACTGCACCATGGTATCTCAGTTGTTAGCACTGTAAAACTGGTAGAAGTTGAGACAATGCAGCGTTTCGTGACATGTTACCTCACCTCATTGCTATTACTGCTTAATCCAAAAGGGGGATAGTGGGTAGCCTAGTGGTAAAAGCATTCGCTCAGCATACCGAAGACCTAGGTTCCTTTCACTACATGGGTACAATACGTGAAGCCCATTTCTAGTGTCCCCCACCTTGAGGTGAGGTGAGGTGAGGTGAAATTGGGTTTTACGTCGTACTTGAGAATATTTCGCTCATATGACGACGTGCATGCGTGTGTATGTGTAGACTTTAGTTGGTTTCATGGTGCTAGCCTACTGAGATACCGTGAAGCATGAATACCCCACTCAGACACATACTGACTCCGAGCCGACCAGTCCTTGTTGTACCCATTAATGCCGAGCGCCAGGCAGGGACCAACAGGTACCATATTTTAACGTCTTTTGGTATGACGCGGTCAGGGATCGAACCCTCAACCTTCCGCTCTCCGGGCGGACGCTCTAACCACTACACCACGGAGGCGGTCCCCCCCCACCTTGATATTGCTGAACTTACTCACTCACTGCAATACATGAATAAGTATACTCATGAGTATAAACTGGTAGTTACAGAGCTGGGTCCGGTGAAACTGGGAAGTCATGGTGGTGTATTCTGGTCAGGTATCCCTTCGATCTTCCAGGCTTGTGTTGTCAGTTGGTGGTTTCCGGAAGGGCATTTGAAGGAAGCATTTCTCAACTAATGTTGATAGTGTATTAATTAGATGGACATACAGATGTATTCATGAGGTCTTTGACTCAACTGAAATTGAATTCTGTTTGTTTCTGGGTTATGTAAGATAGTGGCCCGTTTGTCCAACCATTGATCTGTGGAATACAGACATGATGTGAAGGGTCCCTGCCGATGGTCTATTCTATTGATGAAATGTGTGCAGCAATGGTCTGTTTCCTGACAAAATAAATCAACAATCCGCTGATGAAATAACTGTTGTTTTCAGCCTTTGGTGTGTAATTCCCTTGGATTGTGTAAATGTTGTTATTCAATCAGTTGATACTGTGATAGTAAATAGTGTTTGCTGACAACTGCTGTTATGGACAATTGTGGTGGGGTAGCCTAGTGGTTAAAGTGTTCACTTGTCACGCCGAAGCCCCGGGTTCAATTCCCAGCACGAGTACAATGTGTGAAGCCCATTTCTGGTGTCCCTCTGCTGTGATATTACTGGAGTATTGCTAAAAGCGGCGTAAAACTAAACTCATTTAAAAAACTGCAACTGTTTGTTACAAATGGTTTGACACATAAATTTAAGCACTGATACGTCTTTGAAACAGTATGCCCCTACAAGATCTATGTGCCAGGGGCCTGTGGGCAGGAGTTTGAACCCTGAACTGGAATCTCCATATGCATTCTATTGACAAACCTGTGATTGTTTCTACCAGATTCAGTGATTCCACAATAGGAACTGACAGCCTTTTGAATGGTCAAAGCAGCATGTTTGTATATTCTTGTCACTGAGCAAGTATTTTAATCATTCCTATTTACTAATGATTATTCTTTGTTTTGCAGGAGCAACCAAGGAGATTGGATCAGCTCTGACCCGACTGTGCATGAGACACAGAAGTATAGAAAGCAAACTCAAGTCATTCACAGGGTAAGCGTGCTGCTTCAGCATTGACGGAGACGTTAAAGATTTTAGGGAGTCTTGGGAGGATCCAGTGCAGTAAAGTGCGCTGACACAGTCACTGGTCAGCTTGACCTGAAATAACCCATTGCCCGACGCCTGAGTCCAGTGTTTTTTTTCTGTCGGGCAAGCAAATTTGGATATGACACTGTACCGGTGTCCAGTTGACTTTCCAATATTAATTATGTTGTTTATTTAAAAAATCAACAAGAAAACAGCCGGTATAGTGGAAAATTATCAGGGCAAGTGATTTTACATGTGCCACTGTTCCGGAGTACACTAGCAATTTTAAAGTTATTTCCACCCCTGGATAGTGGTTACAACATACATAGATTTCATGTCTTCTCCCAGATCTCGCCATACTGCATCAGGTCTGAAGTGACCTGTCGACAAATGATTACCTTGTGTTGTCCATTCGTGAGTCGTGTTTAAGGAGGGAGTAGGAGAAAATGAATGAATTAATTTCCAATTGAGGGAAGGGTGGGGTTGGCAAGGAAAGTGAGTTTTGGTGAGCAGGTGGTTTGATTGGTGGATGAGTGAGTAAATGTTCAATGCAGTGATATAACTGGAACACTGTTCAGTTAGTAATAGGGGTGGGTATTGCAGAGAATTTTCATATTGCGATATATTGCCAGAAGTTAATGCTTGATTTATAAAGCAAAAACACAACAAAATCACTATGCTTGATTAAGCTTTAATATAAACTTTTGATTTACTTTACCATTGCATATTTTACATACCGCGTTCCTCTTATCAATAGTTCCATCTACCGTGAACTTTTTCAACCCCAAATGCTGGCATACTGATGCCTTTGCCCTAGTATTGACACCACAATAAATTGTTCGTTGTTGGGGGTCGCCATTTTACAACAAACGCATGACTTCCGATATGAAAAACGGAAATATCCGAAGATTTCCAAGTGTTACAAAGTTTTCAGAATGCATGTTAAAATATCTGTTTTCGATCAACGTTTCGCAATACGTATTGTTTTCATATCTGAACCGGTATATACTGGTAAACTGGTTATATTGCGCAGCCCAAGTTAGTAAGCTTCATTAATGTCAATCACTCACACATTCTTTTACTCACAATGTTATGATTATAGTCAGGATGAGACTGAAGCAAAGGAAAAGGTGTGTGGACAGTTAGAGTTTGTTGTTTGATTAATATCCCAGTCAGCCATATGCCAGCAATACGACAGTGACGAACATCGTGATAACGTAAATATCACACGTGTTAGTATATGAGAGTTTATTTAGTTTACTCTTACTGGACATTGCATAATCCTGTATGTATGCCCCTACAGATGCATGCTGGATACCTTGGTCGCACCGATTCAGGACAAGCTGGAGGAATGGAAGAAGGTCGTAGCTCAACTGGATAAGGATCATGCTAAGGGTAGGTAACTCTTGTTTGTCATGCCAATGAGTTTTTTTCCTTTACAATACGTGGCTTACCTGGATTCTACCCGTGAAGGTCCGGGTTAGAATATTGGCCTTCAGTAACCCGTGCCTGTCGTAAGAGGCGACTAATGGGATCGGGTGGTCAGACTAGCTGACTTGGTTGACACATGTCATTGGTTCCCAATTGCACAGATCTATGCTCATGTTGTTGATCACTGGATTGTCTGGTTCAGACTCGATTATTTACAGACCGCCGCCATATAGCTGGAATATTGCTGTGTGTGGCGTAAAACACTCACTCACTTACTTGGATTCCTGGTCTTCTAGAAGTGACGTATGATGTTACGTTTGGTTCTCACTGAGCTAAAGCAAGAAGGATGATGTCAATGTTTAGTTGTTGTTGCGCTAAAACAAGAAGGATGATGTAAATGTTTCGATGTTGTTAGCTAGAATAAGCTGGATGATTTTAATGTTTAGTTATTATTAAACTGAAGTATGATTGATGATGTCAATGTTTCGATGTTGTTAGCTAGAATAAGCTGGATGATTTTAATGTTTAGTTATTAAACTGAAGTATGAAGGATGATGTCAATGTTTTGATGTTGTTAGCTAGAATAAGCTGGATGGTGCTTGTGTTTCAGAATATAAGAAAGCCAGACAAGAAATAAAGAAAGCAGCTTCAGACACAGTCAGATTACAGAAGAAAGTGAAGAAAGGTAAGTTTAGCTTGGATGGAATAAAACGAACGAAACATTTTTTACCACACTCATAATATATATATGTCCTCAGCCCAATCCAAGGCTGCCATCATACAGCTTGAATATTGCAATGCCATGACACAAACCACCTGACAGAAACTCTGAGGATATGTCCTTAAGCTCACCCGTCTAGATGAGTTGTTTTCCCTCTCTCCCTCTGTGTACCTTTCAGTGTCTTCTGTAACCATTCCTTGTTATTCCTCTTCACAACCAATAAGTAAAACATGCTATTTCTGAATATGTCCACTGGCATGGACCACAAAAGTGATAAGAAGAATTTATTGAATAGAGAGTCCAAATATTGACGCTCTGGAATGGAATTGCTCCCTAACCACAAGATCCATGGAAAGTGTCGGTACAGCTTCAATTAAGGTGGCAGCCATATTGACTTTCCAACACAGGATTACAGGGTTAACAGCTTGGATATCATTTAGAAGAGAAGGCTGGAATAGCAGAGTATTTACTCTCTACTAACAGACAGTATCCCAGTCCAGCTTTAACTGGCTTCATGTGTGTGGTAAGGGCTTGAAATGCTGTGATCTGCTACACTTGGCTGTTAATTCCTTCTCAGGCCCAGACCAGATCAGGGAACAGATTCTGGAGAGTTTTGTTTGGCAGAGTTCGTGACCTTGCAGGGTTCGACTTTAGAACTCTCACGAAATCTATATTTAGTTTTAAGGCATGATGGCTCACTCGGCTGGTGTGCTGTTATCTGCAGTGCAGAGTTATGTCCCTTATTCATGCCAGGATCTGCTGGTTGTGGACTTGAATGTTCAGTTCACCCTGTTACAATCGATGGACTGTCAGGAACAAAGCTGTAAATGTCTTTTAGGAACTTTGGTTCAATTCTTCTCCAATATTTATGGATATTGTTTGCAAACATTGTTATGCAAAGTTATTCAGACATTCAAGAAAGAAAATTGGATGCTCTATATTTCATGAACAGAAATTGTTCATTTTGTTCAGTTAGAACATGTTTGTTGACCTAACTGATCACTTGTCTGTCAATGACAACACACAATGGCACTGAGATAATGCTGAAATCAGCCTTAGAACAAACTCACTCGTGGAACTTAAAAAGGGAATGGTCTAATTCCATCATGATGATGGTATGCAGACACTGAACTGACATAGCCTACTAAATTCTGAAAACTATTTCATTAATTTCTATATTTTTATAGGGCCGGTGGGATAGCCCATGCTTAAAGTTTTTGCTTGTCATGCCAAAGACCAGGGTTCGGTTCCCCACATGAGCCCGTTTCTGACGTCCCCGCCATGATATTGCTGAAATATTGCTAAAAGCGGCATAAAACTAAGCTCACTCACTATATTTTTATAGTAAGATTTAACTGGTGTTAAAACAGAGTTAAGACTAATGTAGTTCCGTGTTAAAGCATGAGAAATATGACTGTCGGTTGTCTTGGTTAAAGCAATCTATATCTATGTTAAAGTATGGCGGATACCATTAGTTCGTTAACCACAGCATGAGCAACAACGTAAATACCGGTTTAAACTTTATCTTACCTTCATATCAGAATGTTGACATCTTATTGGTTTATACAATCTTGATAAAATAGTGCCCGAGAGGGAAATACATTTCTGAGTGGGTGAATAAATTCCTTTATTCCCTCCCACAAAGAAAACACCTTGCACATGGATTCCTAAGGAGAATAAATCTGATATACCCTACAAGGAAGGAAAACCATATGTTTTGAAGTCACTTGACACTTTACAAGTAACATAACCTCAAACAGCTTCTATCAAATTTTAATTTGTTTTAATTCTTTTACAGTGTCAGATTTAAACATGTCGGCAAGATCAATTGTTGTGAGTATCATGAGGATGTATGTATTTTTATGTGTCCTGCGTTTGGTTTTATACCGCTTACCTTGGCTCGTATAAAACCTGACGGGACTCATGAAACTACATAGAGCTCTCATGATGCTGTTAGAACTCGTACAACTTATATTAAGAGCTCACTTCCAGGATTAATGATGCTTGAGATGTATGAGGTGTTTAGTTTCGTGAACACTTTGTGGAGAAATCCAATTTCCCATTGTTTATATGATGTGAGAAGGTCGCTAAAAGGGAACATGCTGAATGAATAAACACCCTGCACCTTGCCTCGAGACTCCGTGATTAGTCTGCGGCCATTCATTCTCAGCCGAATCTGCACAGAGGAGATTGGAATAAAACCATCAGTCCTTGTGATGTTTTATCATGACGTTGTTTTTAAGAATTCTTTATAAATTTCACTTAAATTAAAATTTAAAATGTGAATTTGAATTTATTTTTTTATGAATGAAGTATTTGTAAAGTTGGAATTTATTTTGGGACAGAAGAGGTTTTCTTTATAATTGTCTGTTTATTTCTTTTGTGTGGTCTGATCATGAAGATATGACAGGTTAGAGCAGATTATAATAGATTTGGAACTTATCCTGTGGATGTGTTCTGTGTTCAGCTGATTAAAACCAGTGAAGGAAGCATTATTAGAACACCACAACACGAGAAAAGGACCTTGGACAACAGGATTCCTTCTGTGTTTAGGGTGGTAAGGTAGCCAAGTGGTTAAAGCATTTGCTCGTCACGCCAAAGCCCGGGTTTGAATCTCCACATAGATATAATGTATGGAGACCATTTCTTGGTCCCATGCAGTGATATTGCTGGAATATTGCTAAAAGCAGCGTCAACCCAACTCACTCACCCAATTGCTTTTAGATACATGATACAGGTTGTTATTATCCCCCGCAACGCGTTTTTCGGGGGGTATTAAAATGGACTCCGTCCGCCTGTCCGTCCGTTTGTCCAACCGTCCATCCGTGCACATTTGTCTTTTCTGGAGCAGAACTCTAAAAGCATTCAATATTTCTTCACCAAACTTGGCACATACATTGATCTGGTGGTGTACTGGTGCCTTTTGGCAGTTTTGGAATTCTGAATACAATGTTTTTGGCGTTTCCATGGCAACAAGTTCGACTTAGACTGAAATTGGTGGTAGTGCTCTTTTCCGGAGCAGAACTCTAAAAGCATTCAATATTTCTTCACCAAACTTGGCACATACATTGATCTGGTGGTGTACTGGTGCCTTTTGGCAGTTTTGGAATTCTGAATACAATGTTTTTGGCATTTCCATGGCAACAAGTTCGACTTAGACTGAAATTGGTGGTAGTGCTCTTTTCCGGAGCAGAACTCTAAAAGCATTCAATATTTCTTCACCAAACTTGGCACATACATTGATCTGGTGGTGTACTGGTGCCTTTTGGTAGTTTTGGAATTCTGAATAAAATATTTTTGGCGTTTCCATGGCAACAAGTTCGACTTAGACTGAAATTGATGGTAGTGCTCTTTTCCGGAGCAGAACTCTAAAACCGTTCACTATTTCTTCACCAAACTTGGCACATAGATTGGTCTGGTTGTGTACTGGTGCCTTTTGGTAGTTTTGGAATTCTGAATAAAATATTTTTGGCCTTTCCATGGCTGACTGAGACTGAAATTGGTGATAGTGCACCTTTCAATGCTCTCCTTCCACTTTTCTATATACACACCTAAATATTTGACATAATCATAACTCGTAGACATAATCATGAAGAGTATTTTGCCATTGCGGGGGATATTGATGACTTTGTCTTCTTGTTTCATGTTATAACTTGGCATTCCCATCTGTGTAATGTTGTGACAGGCAGCTGAAGACATCAGATAACATGTCTGCAGGGTATGATCAGGAGAAGCGAAAGAGCTCTTAGTGCATGGTTGACAGAAATGCTGTATGGAGGGAGATGTCTCTTGTCGCATACCCAGCTTGTTGATATCTTGTTGCAGAAGTGTACCTGTTGGGAGCTACTATTTCAAGTTCTTTTCAATATGGGTATGGGTGTAGCAGACTGTAATCCTAGTCATAGGTCTGAAACCAGTGGCAAGATTTCTTTCAGTCCAGTGACGTCTGCTGATACTATGATACTAATCCTGTGTCTGATCCGGGGGTTGTGGTTTAGACTAGGTCCTCGGCAACCTAACATGATTGCTACAGGCATAGAGTGGTTAGACTGAGTTGATTACATGTGTTCAGATTGTTGCTTGCTGCATCATACTCGGGGCGGTGGGGTAGCCTAGTGGTTAAAGCGTTGCCTCGTCACGCCGAAAACCCGGGGTCGAATCCCCACATGGGTACAATGTGTGAAGCCCATTTCTGGTGTCCCCCGCCGTGATGTTGCTGGAATATTGATAAAGGCGGCGTAAAACCAAACTCAGTCAGTCAGTACATCATACCCATGAAGCTCCTGTCTTCAGCAACCCATGCTTGTTGTAAAAGGCGACAACAAACCAACCAACCAAGCGTACTACATCGATCATTGGTCGATGATCTGACTTGATGCCTAATGACCACTCGATTAGTGCTGATTGTGGCTTTGAACAAACCAACAAATCTATGTCAGTGTGTATCAAACTGAAATCTCCTGAAAATAATTCGAAGTTCCATAATTGGGCTAGTAGTCTCAAAAGTCCCTGGTAGTAGTCTCAAAAGTCCCTAATCTTCCAAGCTTGCATAACACACTGGTCAATGCTCTAGTGACAGATAGAAGGTCAAGTCAGTGCACATTCCTCAGAAACCAGCACACACTGCCTACAGTTCATGGGCAACACAACTATCTCTCACTAAAATCTTAGCAGTGGAGGACTCCATTGTCCTTTACATAAAGCCTCTGACCTGAGAGTGGAGGAATTGTGGTTTGATGATATCAAAAGACATTAAATATGGCACTTGTTGTTACCCTGACTGATGCAGGGGAAGTGACAAGGACTGGTGGGCTTGGAGTCTGTATACTTGAGTGGGGCATCCATGATCAACTACAGCATGGTATCTCACTGTGCTAGCGTAATAAATCTGGCATCAGTCCAGATTAGTTCAACCAGACACACAGGCATGCAAATGACATTATTGTGAATGTGACGTTGAACCC